TGAAGAGGCTTTTCGGAGAGTGAGACTGGTACATATGTCTTGGCCAACTCTTGTGACGGCGTGCATATGTACTGCCACCAAGATCATCTTTCAAGATGTTAGCCAAACTCTAACTCAATCTCACAATTGTTGAGCTTACTTCCATTTCGAGTGAAAATGTTTGGCGAAGAGAGTCAAAAGTTGATTTCACCAGAAAATAACGGCAGATTCTCTTAACCAGCTGTCGATTGACTTTACTGGAACATTCATGCCGACGCTGTTTCTGAGGTAATCTTCTTTGATTGCGGTGAATACGTGATAAGCTTTCATACGTCGTAGGACGATCATCATCAGAGTAGGATATCATCCTTACAACCAAATTAAAGCTAACGAGTTGAGAAAATTCACCGGCTCATCCATAAAATGCTGTATATATACTCCATATCTGACCTCTTTGATGAGGTATAAAGTTATTTGGTTAGTTCCAGTCATATGTCAACCTCAGAGCACGTGAGTGTGTCTATCTCTGAATGCCTTCGAATATGTATGAAACCCGCAGTGATGGCTCACTGTCACTAGAAATGGAAGTAAGCTTAACAATCATCAAACAAGAGGTTCCTCAAAAATAAACTTTTCTTCTCAATATTAAAAGTTTTAAGTTCATTGGCAACCGACCTGACATTCAAATAGACTAAATATGTATGCAACAAGACGGAGTTTCAAAGAATCCCAAAGTGATTTAGTGTGACATGAATTTCCATTTCTAAAGACAAGTTGATTGGAAAGAATTTGTTAATTGATTCAGCGGAAACGGGAGGAGTAATTGCCTCAATGTGAAGACTGATTGTGCGAAGAAGCACTAGGAATCCCCTCCTGCGAACTCGGTGAACTCGTGCCAAGCTTTCGTCTGTGATGAGGCACTGAAGCATACTTTTAAGAAACAAGGCCGTAATCCTTTCGGTTCGCCGCATTGATGCGCTATTTCTTAAAGTATCCTTTCTTGCTCTGATGAAGTGGAGATTGAGGCTGCGATGCAGCTCTGACCGAGGCTCAAGCCTTTGTCTCGAAAATCTATTCATTTAAGAGAAAAGTAATCTCGTCGATTGTTATAGCAAATATAAGTTTGCTACATTGAAAATCCCAGCACAGAATGTGATATGGAAAATGTCTGGCCTTCCTTGAACTTCACACCTGCCCTGTGACTCAAGGCCACTCGTGGCAATCGGGCAACGTGTTCAGATTACACATTGCAGTGTCCTGGTTCGAGTCCCACTGGGGGTGTTGATAAGATCTATGCGAGGTAGCAACTACAGTCTACTCCAGCCGGGATGGGAACACCCTTTGGGGAAAGCAGGGCTATGTGTAATTCAATGTAAAGTATCAGCTTTTCTCATACCATTGTGGGCAAATTCAACTACCATTCCTTCATCACTTTAAACGAAATAAGATGAACGCATCTCATATATATAATGTAATGGTAGTCTCTAAAACCTGCTCAATAACACGATAAAAGTTATCTTCTTATCTGTCTTCGATTAAATTTTGTTTCCGCCTGAAAATTTATTATTATTAACAATTAGGCCTAATGTATATTTATTTTCAAGGCCGTACCAACTATTTAGTCAAATGGTTGCTATCCGCATATCTCATATTTCAATATTATTATCCTGGATGAGATCACCTACGTGAAATTCAATGGAAATGTCAGTTCTGCTCATATCATCACTTTAAACGAAAAAGGGTGAACACAATTTATACATTTCATTCTAAGTCGTCTTAACACTTCACCATCGCCAGTTTGAGCATCAGTCAGGCCTGGTTCGAGGCCTGACGACCAGCTACACCAAAAGCGAGGCTCAAAGACCAGCCAGAGTTGCATTCACCCGATTTCGATTAAGATGATGAAAGATTGGTAGTAGAATTTTCCCACAATCATGTGAGTAGAGCCGGCGTTTCCATTCAATTTCACATAGCCTTGCCTTCTCAATAGTACATACCCGACTGTTCAGCGATGAGTCAATTGGTCCAATCGGAGGCAAGGCTTATGCACCCTCGTGGCCTAGACAGGGCAATCAGTTTCCGCCTTCGCTCAGGCTACGCAAGCGTGAGTCAGGCCACAAGTGCTGGTGACGAGGGCAGAGCTCGAGCCCGATTTACATAGCAAGCAATGCGGGTTTCAAATAATCTCTTAAGATCAAATTAATATGAAGAATTTCATTTCGTTTGGAAGTACACGATGAAGAGATTTGTAGGTCAATCTCGCCAGAAGACGTCGACTGATCCGCGTTGTACTGCCGACTAGTCTTGTTGACTTTGTGTTAACTGGAGGCTTCTACAAGAATGGGTCCCAGCTCTGACGAGGTTCGTGATGTAACATGACGAACGAGAGCTTAGCCGTTTGGGCCCGAAACCGTGGCCGATGTTGCGTGGATGGCATCAACCGGAACGGCTGGCGTACAACGCTAATCAACCGACGTCTTCTGGTGAGATTGACCCACGAATCTCTTCAACATCTACTTCCACACGAAATGAAAGTCTTCATGCCCCGATCTTTTTGGCTCGTCCGGCCTTGACAACACCAGCGCAGGCTGGCAAGAGCCTGGGACGACAAGCCGGAGCCTGGACAGCTCGACCCGATGCTGGCCAGACTGAAGCCGCTTCTGCTCGTACCTCGGTTGGTACTGGCGACAGCACACAGACACGGTGAGAGGCGAGCGCTAGGATTGGCTGTGGCCGCCGCCAGGCCCAACAACGCGACGGTCATTGGCTTGACCGCGGGCCGGCGTCACGTGAGACGGTCAGACGAGCGGCCGCTTCAAACGGATCGGCGCCACGCTAATGACGAGCAGGGGGGGAGGGTGGTGCGGGGTGCGGGGTGTGGGACGGAGAGGCAGCAAAGAGGACGGTTTGGTCGAGCCGAGAAACGGTCGAGTGAGCAAGCCGGCGCGTCGGAGTTCGCTTCAGACCCCGTTGACTCAACCGCCTCGAAGGCAGCCGGACTGTAGGACCACCCAACTTGCGGCTCCGGATGTAGCAAGACGCGGTGCCTTGACGCCGACCGCGCCACCTGCAGCAATCAATCGGGCCGTGCTTTGATTCCACCCGCCCAGCCCACCAAACAGACTGGCTCCACTTCTGCTTCGGCTTCGGCTTCAGGCGACCCAAAAATCGTCCACGAGGTCAAGTCGAGTGGAGTGGACTCGATTGGAGCAGGATGGGCTAATATGAGCCAGATTGCAAGGCAGTAAACTAATCTTGACCGAACTAAACAATGAAGTGTATTCGCCCTATTTCGTTGAAGGTGATGAGGCGACGGGTAGTGGAATTTTAAGACAATAATTTGAGCACACCTTACGCTTCCAGTCTTTTTCACACAGCCTTGCTTTCCCAAAAGGTGTTCCCATCCCGGCTGGCCTGGACTGTAGTTTAGTCCTCGCATAGGTCTTGTCAGCACACCCAGCAGGACTAGAACCAGGACACGTTAAACACAACGCCCCAATGCCACGAGTGCCCTTCGGTCACAGGGCAGATGGGAATCACAAGGAGAGCCGGGCCTTTTCCAAAATCATATTCTGTGGTGGGATTGTCGACAAAACATACACTAAACTAAATTGAAATAAATTAAACTAGTCTAGACTTAACCACATTAAGCTAGACTAAACTAGACTAAACTAAACTAAACTAGACTAGACTAGACTAAAATAAAATAAAAAAGACTTAACTGAAGTAAGCTAGATTAATTAAACTAGACTAGAATAAAGTATACCAATATGGGCTACACTAAACTAGAAGCTAATTAATTAAGTAAATGTAGTACTTACTTAACTTCCTATAGGCCTCTACTTCTCTTTGTCGAATGGGACAAAAAATCTCTCCAACATTAGAGCGATCACATGAACGTATTATGTTATAGAAACACGATTTGAATAATGGGTCAAATTTATCACTGATTTATCACCTATTTCGTTTAAAATGATAAAGGACAGGAAGTAGAATTTTCCAACATTCATATGAGTAGAGGTTAAATTTCCACTGAATTTCACATAGCTCTGCTTTCTCAAAAGCTGTTCCCATCCCCTGCTAGAGTGGACTGCAGTTTCGCCCTCGCCTCGGTCTTATCAAAACCCCCAGCGGGAGCCGAAACGTGACATGGAAGAATATGGGCTTGACATGTTAACTATTCGGCGACATTGCCACCAGTGCCCTTGGGTCACAGGGCAGATGTGAATTTACAAGACGGCCATGCTTTGGTGGGATTGTCGCTAAAACAAATATATTTTTGCTATGAAAAACGAGAACGTTACTTATTAATAGTATGTAAATAGACTTTCAAAAATACCAGTAAATCAGTAATATAAGAAGTATCAAAGTCCTACTTACATACGAAAAATCATAAGAGGTACTCAATATATGCAAAGTAATAGTAAATTTTACAATAAATATTATTAATATTAAACTTTAAAAGGAAAAGAACTAGATGGGTATCA